CTGAGCTTTTCCAGCAACTTTGTTTTTGTTCCTGATTTACAGCATCCGCAGTTCTTTTTGGTTTTTAGTTAGAAGTTTCCTCCAGTTACATTTTTGGGACTTTTAGTATTCCTCTTCAAAGTTAAGCAAATCTGGATTCTTTTCATTTGCTCCAACTTTGCAGCAACGTACTCTCCGGTATTTTACAATGCAGAGAGCTCCAAGGTACGACTGCTTTAACTGGCCTGAAGCCAAATCCGTCCCAGCGTCTCGGTCTGTAATCTTGCTAACATGCTGCATGACCTTCAGAAAGTGTTGCCTTGTTGTGACTGCCATGCTTTGTAGCAGAAATCGTAGCTGTGCGCGTCTGTTTTCTTTTAACCTGCTTTCTCAGTCCATCCAAAACATTCCTGCAGAATGAATGGACACAGTGAGGCTGCCACATTGGCACTAACATGCCTCCAAGCAGAAGCAGAAGTGCCCACCCCCCTACCAGACTAGAATAACCCTAAATACGGCACTGAGGTATCAGGGCACTGCTTCAAGAAGCAATGCCAGTGAGAGTTCACAACTTACCCAGTACCACTCCAGTCCAAAGCATAATTGTTGCCGAACTCAGGATATTTGTTATAGACACAGAGCAGTGTTATTTTACCTTTGAGGTAATTTGATCTATTGCTGGCAAAAGGTACTCTTCTAACAGTATGATACCAAATACTGCTGTTCCTATTACCACAATTAACAATTAAGGTGGTTATGGTCACATTACATAAAGAGAATGAGAGACACACATAGACACACAGAAACACAGAGGCAGAGAGAGGCACAAGAACAAGAGAGAAAGAGAGAATGATGAACGTTAGAAGGAGAAACAATGAAAGTGAAGTTACAGAGAGGTTGGTAGAGATTTAACTGGCTGGAAAGAAGGGGAGACTATACGACTACAGTCACAAACTTAAGAGATGAGTATTTGGCAGGGGTGTAGATTAGACGCAGTGTTGTGGTTGTGGGGTAAAAGACTGGAGCAAAGGAGTAACTGCAAAGTTACAATTATACATTAAGGAGCAGAGGAATCAATGGGGAATACTTACATGTAAAAAGAGAGGATTGGTGGTATGTAGTTATAGCCTAGACACAAGGGATTGGTGGGGGTAGAGCTAAAGACTTGAGGGGCTATAATTACTGATTAGAGAATTGGTTGGGAGGTGGTGAAGTGCACTTACAAGCTAAGTAAGGAGCACTGATGCAGAGATAGTAGGAACTGCAGATGCTGGAGAATCTGAGATAACAAGGTGTAGAGCTGGATGAACACAGCAGGCCAAGCAGCATCAGAGGAGCAGGAAGGCTGACGTTTTGGGCCTAGACCCTTCATCAGAAATGGGGGAGGGGAAGGGGGTTCTGAAATAAATAGGGAGAGAGGGGGAGGCGGATAGAAGATGGATAGAGGAGAAGATAGGTGGAGAGGCTGATAGGTTTGCAAATTGGCACAGCAGGACCACGAGATAACATGCAAATTTAATTACAAGTTAATTAGTGTGAATGCAAGTTTGATTAATGGCTCTGGCATCATAGCCATGAACAACAAAAACACAACATGTGAAATATGAAGGGCTTTTTATTAACCATTTTCAATACTGATTCAATAATTCTTCTAATGACTTCTAAAGAGAGGCAAAAAATAAATACCAAAATAAATTTAATGCTATTCCAAGGTGGTTCATTCAGACCTTCGATAAGTTTAGACAAAAATACATACTTGTACTTTGGACTTTGCTGCAGTGCACTTGACAGGTTCCCATATAATCACCAACAGGCTCGAGGACCTAACCAATTTATAAAAGGGTGGAATTAAACTTACCCGTGATGTTGGCCTTCAGTTCTTCATCAATGACTTTGATTGCCTGCATCATCTTGGGGATTCCATTCTGCTTGACCAGCTCCTGTTTGTTCGTGGTGTTGTTATAGATCAAGTTGCGCATTGCTGCTGTGGCACTCCGTTGCACTTCCAATGCATCGTGATTGAAGAGTTTCACAAGCTTAGGGATCGCCTTCAAGTTATAAGCCTAATGAAAGAGAACTATCCAATTTTAGCACTTGTAATACCAGGCTTGGTGATTACAACTCTCTAATTCAACTCTACAAACTACAGGGTCACATCGGACTCGAAATGTAAATTCTGTTTCTCTCCCTGCAGATGCTGCCGGGACTGCTGAATTTTTTTGTTTAAGCTTTGGTGATGTTTCCCCATAGATAAATAACAACAAGCAATGCTCTAACCCGCCTCTGCAGTTAACAAACACAGCTAATTTTTCTGGGTGCTCAGGTTTTTTAGCCTAGCTCTGAACATCAGATGATTAAAACCAAAGGCAGGTCACTCAGGGTCAGCAAAAGTCATAACATAAAAGTTAGGATTCCTTTAATAAAAAAAAATTTAGCTATAAAGCCAGGAACTCAGGCTCAGGAATTTAGCAAAGATAGGAATAGATAAGGGTTATTTTTCATCGTAGTATGACTTATTGGCACAGAGGTGTGGCATTTTCATTATTTTATATTACGTTTCTATACTACAATAATTATGTTCCGTAAGCTCCTTTGTTCTGAAACTTATACCAACTTGTATCTGGATGTGTCTAGCCAAGTACTTTCTCAATATACCTTTGAGGATTGGTGGGGATGTGTGAAAGTTACAAATATCCTGTTCAATTAACAAGAGATAGTGGAGTGTTACACCCAACAATAATTCATTCATATATACTGTCAATGCATCACAAGGGACTTCACAGAAGCATTGTCAAATATATCCTGACACTGAGCCTCACTGGAGATATTTGGGAAGATAATTAAAAGCTTGGTCAGAGAGGTAGGTTTAAGAGGAGTATCTTTAAAGGAGCAAGGTGAAGTGCAGAGGTTCAGACACAAACTCCAAAGTTTAAGGCCTTGGCAGCTGATGACTTATAGTGGAGCCATTTAGAAAGAAACGAAGCTACTCAGGAGGTTCAAATAGCACCCAAGCAGCTAACAGATCGACATAAAGCAATATGCGACAGAATATCTACAGCAATACTGAAAATGTAAAAGAATTTGAGGAAAAAGAGTGACGGGTCGCAGGAACTTAAAATAAGGAAAATACTCAAAAGCATTCCACCAATTCTGCCTTTCCCACCACCCCCCTTCCACAGTCACCAACTCTTACATGCTCTTTAGCACCCGCATCATGGTAGCATTCATGTTGGATGTATCCAGCTCCGATCACTTGATTGTTCACGTCAGAAGAATCCAGAAGGTTGACGGCGGTCGGCAGATCCAAATTGTCAGATCTAGAGAGAACAATATTGAGTTCAGATTTCTCAGCACGTCTGCATCAGCCTCAAACAAGGAGCCACGGGCTAAATTTTGTGAGCTCGTGCTTGAGCTGTGTAGAATGGGATACTGGACATCGATGATCTTGGAAGACTTTCAACTTGTTAAAAAAAGTGGATGGGAAAATTCCGTGAGATACAATGATAGTGTACGTTTCCAAGCAGCAAATTTCAAACATTCCGTACTTTACAAAGTACTTACAATAACGCTGAAGAAACCTGACTGGAAAGGAACATTATTTATTGTAGGATACCAAAACAGAACCACTACTTGTGGCGTACAAAGGCTAGTCCCAGCCTGGGACTGATGCAGACCCATCCCCTGGGGCTGTTTTACATATATTTTCTAACCACCCTGTTCAGCCATGTTATTTACACACCTATGGAGTAATTTGAAAATTGAACCCAAGTCTCCTGTCCAGGAGGTAGGGACGCTACCACTGCACCACAAGAACCAATACAGTGTGACAAGAGCAGAAAGAAAAGCCTAATGTGCATTTGAACCTGGGCCTCCCACATGGCAGGCAGGAATTCTACCACTGGACCACCAACACAACCATACCCCAACACAAAACTGAATGACTTACCCACCACAAAATCATCCACCCATGCTGCCAATTAGGAGTTTACTTGCAAAGCCCATTATGGGCAATGTGGACCATCAAAAGGGAGGGATGGACTAAAATCAAGACAGATTTGGAGAAGGAAATAAAGCACTGTCTCCCCCATGGTACCCAGCACTTGATAAAGGCATCGAGAGCCCCATTGGTGGGCACCTGGGTAAGAACATAACTGCACAAGAGGTGCAGACAGTCCACAGGTATGACTGCTTCCACGGCCTGGACCAAAGGGCTTAAGTGAAGACTTCCAGCTGGGCAGGCCATTGCTTGTTACCAAGGGAATCCACACTTACCAAGCTCCACGAAGAGATTTAGTGATTCCCCATTAAGGAGGTTACCACAATATTTAATTTGCATTCCAGACACTTTTCTTTACCCCAAGTTGCTAAGTAACGTTTGGTTCCACAGATGTTGGTAACCTTGGAATCATCAACCAAGTGTTCATCCTTCCTGTGCAAGTCCGAACGATGCCTGTTACAAAGCTATTTGTTGTGCAGAGGATCGCAGTGAAGGTAGATTCTCTCCTCCCTGAGCATTCACACAAAAGTGCTTTCTATCAGGGAGCAGGAACAGACACTGTTCTTTCACAGACTATGGGCACCGTAGCTGATTGCAGGTCTCCAAAAGACCAGTTAGCTCAGCACAAATCAATTAAATCCAGGACTGACCAGCTTTGCACACGGATCTACTGTGCAGATAAATAAGTTGTTTTATTTATGACCACTCAGTTTTAGAGAGCCATATGGCTTATCTGTCATCGTGACATCATCTGTGTGTGTGCAACAGTAGCATTGCTGTAACTCAAAGAAGATTTTACAAAGTAGATGGCAACACTGTTTGATAGGGTTTGGAAACACATGAAATTAAGAACAATCCTTTTCTCCCCAGCAAATAACACTCTCGAAAATTCTGAATGGATTCTCCAGCATTTTACCCTTACACCCTAACCCTACCACCCTGTTCCTGTTGTCTGTTGTTAAGTAGACCTTTCACTGCAAGGCAGATACTGTCATAGTACAGAACTATATAATTTGTTCAGGTTTCTTGGCCAACCTTGTAAACAATTTGGAAAGAAGATCTCCAGATCATTTGTTCCTTCAAAAATGCTTTTTTTTTGGCTTTGTGATAAGAAATTACAAAGTTTTTTTAAAATATTTTTATGGATAAGTATCTAGGCCTGTTAAAATGAGGGAATACTTAAGAAGAATTGGAACATTCAGTGCTAAAGGTAAAACAGAGTGGCAATGGTTTCACAGCCCAACAGATCAAATATTAAATAAAAACGCTTTGAAAGGGCCACTTAAAGGAACTAAAATTCAACAAAATGCCATGCAAGCATCTCAAAAAGCAATTAAAAGCCTATTTATAGAATCTGAGAAATTCTAAATAATAGATTCCCCTCACAATTTACAAATATTATAACAATCGGGCCAACCAGAAATTTGTTCTAATGAAACAATATCAACCTCTTAAGATTAACTCTTTTTTTTTCTATCTCTCTCTCCCTTGGTTCTGTCTGACGTGCTGAGGGTTTCCAGAGTTTTTGGTATTTACTTCAAAAGCATGAGTCAACAGCCAAGACATACAGAGTGAATCGAAAACCTTGCTAATACAGCTTCGCTCAGTCTCAGACTTACCGGCTCAGCTGTGCCATTTGTAACGCATCAAGCCTCGCCGCTTCTAACTCTTGCTCTCCCAATTCTCGGACACCGACATCTGCTCTGCCCAAGCTGCGAAGGGATGGAGTGCGTATCATTTGCGAGGTTGAGTAGGAACCCGAACCTGTTCTTCCTCGAATTACTTTGTTGCTTTGCTGGACTCTTTGCAAAGTGCGCTGAGCTGGGGGTCTGATTTGTCGACGGTCAGACATCTCTTCCATCCCTTCCACTGAGTAACTAGCCATGCCCACTGAGCCACTTAAGGATCTGGGCAGGCTCGTAGTCATGCTATTCATTTGCTTAGCTGGAGATTTACTAACCATGTGGCTCATGGTGTAGCTGCTGCTGCTAAGGCCATTACGCCCATGTGAGGATGAATAGCCATTATCAACCTGATCCAAGACCAAGTTGGTCTCTCCATCATCTGCTCTTTGGTAAATGGCCTGTCCATTCATTTGTGCTGCAGACCAAGATTTCTTCCTCACAATCTCAGCATGTTTGCCAGGCAAGTGCATCGAATGTAGTGACAAGTTGTCAATGTCCTGCTGATCCATTAGTCCTTGGTTCACATGTCTGTAGGTTGCGGACTGATGAAAGGACTGTGGTCTGGAAGTCTGATGAAATGAAATGGGTCTGTAGTGAGAAACAGTCTCCTCTCTTTGCCTGAAATATTGATCTCCTGTGGTTGCCCCTTTAAAGGAGTAATCCCCCACAGCTGAACGAGAGGACCAGTTTTGACTCGTCCCCTGTTTATACACGGACGGCTTGGTAGTCTGAGGGAAAAAAAAAACAAACAATAACTCTGAAGCAATTAAGCACAGTACAATAAAAGCAAACCCTAAACAGTCAATTGTCAAATTTATTACAAATTCTCAAACCAGGAGTTTAATTTGTTCATCATCCACCCCCCTCCACTGACTTCAGCTGCTCAAAAGAAGTATTGATTCACACTGGCCTTTGGTTTTATAGTTGTTAGCAAATCTGCAGTATTGTACCCAGGAAGCAATTTACAGACAGTGAATGGTGACAGTTATTTGACTGCGGTGTGCATCACAGTACTGCCCTGTCCTATTCTCAGCCAGTGGTCCACCTGCATGGTATCAGAACCATTGGATAGCAATCATATCCCATTTGTTCCAACATAAAGACATGCTCTTTGGTTCATCAGATTTACACCAGCTAGTTCTTCATAAAATACAGTATAATCCCACCCATTCACTTGTCCTCCACATCTTTCAGTACTTCCCTTTTTCAACATGTAATTTAATTCCCGTTGTTTAAAAGCCAGAATAGTTTGAGGTAAAGGACTTACACAGAGGATGGTTTGAATCTTAAAGAAATTTTTCAAATCTCCCATCCAAAATTTGAGATTATTTCTCACATTTACCACAACCAGTGGGATCAATCTATCACAAGTCTCGACACGATTACCAGATTACTGTTTATCTTTCCCAGCTTCATTGAAAGAAGTAGTGACTTTTCACACTGTTTTCAGAAGTGTCACTTTAATCCCTGGCAAAAGCCCAATGAATTTGATTCTATATTCTTCCAATATTTAGTGGGTGAAAATCACAAGCTTTAACGCAGATTTCTGGATTGTGCCTTCTATCAAGAACCAATCTTTCCAGACAGGCTTCTGATGGTCAAGCTGCGTTTGAAAATGTTAGTTACCTGGAGTTCACAATTTCCCAATCAGTGTACTCTCAGCATTGTTCCTTGCTGGAAGTGACTAATTAAGGAACATAACCAAGTCATCAAATTCCTTGAACCCATTCCACCATTCAACTAGATCATGTTGATCTTCACTTCATTTTCTTTCAGCTTCATTTTCAACTTCTGAACATTGGTAGGTGCACAGATCTCCAACATCCATAATTGTCCTGACATCTTGGAATCCACACTATATTAAAACGCTACAATATTCTGCAATGAACCCTAACCTTTCTAAACTTGAATCTGAAAATACAAATTAAACTTCAAACATTTTTGGAGCACAAAATATGTCCTATTATGTAAATGTTTTGAATGTAGAACGTCACAGAATTGTACCCTTTGGTCCAACTTGTTCAGGCCAATCAGATATTCTACATTAATCCAGTCCCAACAGCATTTGGCCCACACCCCTCTAAACCCTTCCTATTCATGAACCCATCCACATGCTTTTTCAATGTTGTAATTGTACCAGCCTCAACCACTTACTCTGGCAGCTCATTCCACCCCCTGCATGAGAAAGTTGCCCCTTAGGTCCCTTTTAAATCTTTCCCCTCTCATCTTAAACCAATGCCCTCGAGTTTTGGACTCCCCTACCCTGGGGAAGAATCTTGGCTATTCACCCTATCTGTGCCCTTCACGGTTTTATAAACCTCTGAGAGGTTACCCTTCAGCCTCCAACACTCCAGGGAAAATAGCCCCAGCCTATTCAGCTTCTCCCTATAGCTCAAACTCTCCAACCTTGGCAACATCCTTGTAAATTTGCATTATAGAAAAATGCTATAATTCCTAAAGGCACAGCATTTTTCTAGTCTTCAAATAATTGAAGGGCAATGCTTGGAATTATTTACTCCAATGTTCTTGTTTTTATAGCCTTGGATACTTTCTGCTGCACCAAAAACCGCTCTACCCAAATGAAGAAGCAGAAATATGACTCCTGTTTCTCTCTACCTCCCCATTCCTTCCCCACAACCCCTGCAAAGGAATGTTGCACTCAAGTGGTGGCTCAGTTGTAGATCTGGTCATGTTTGACCTGTTCATGGAACCATAACAGCAGAAGCAACAACAAAACAAAAACTTCTTACAACACAGAAGGCCATATACTCACAGAGTACTTTCTGTCAGTTACAAAAGCTTGAGATTTGGAACCGTAGCTTGGCATGGTTGCCACTGGATATCTCATCATTCCAAAAGAATCTGTGGTAACACGGAGAAAGAGAAAATTTTTTATTACATTAAGAAAACATTCCTTCCCAATTTCTCATCCCTTGCCGGGCTATTGATATGATTATCCACTGAAGGAGTTTGGCACTTGGCTGAGGTAATCATTCTCCTACAAAAGCAGCTAGACACTGATGCCAATAATTTGCATGATGATCTCAATCTCCTGTTGAAAAACGTCAGCAGGAATGATCTAAAAAGCTGTAACATATCATCTGCAAATTCCCCACAGGAGATCAGCGCTCAGAAATTCTAAATATTTTCTAACGTGCCTGTTCCGAGATGTTATGACACATGCCTGGAGCAGATGGGACTTAAACCCAGGTCTCCAGACTCAGAGGTAGGAACGCTACCACTGTGCCACAACTGCTTGAACATCAGTGGACCATTCTATAACAAGGAGCATCTCAGTAGAGTTTGAGATGGTCATCATCCACATTGACATGCTTTGCAGCAAGAATCTCTGGGCAGCAATTAGAAGTACAATGTCTCACTGGTTTTCTCCTCAGCCTAGGTCTTAGCCTGACATTAGATAAATGCAACTTAAATCAGATTTCCAAACCAGAAATCTTCTTGTCTACATGTCTCAGCATTCCTGAAATCCCTTCGACACCAATTTATTGAATTTCAAAATCATTTGTTGCTTACTCAGTTATTCTGCCTTGGCATCCTCTAAAAATTAAAGTTTGCAGCACAGCAAAACAAATGTTTCCAGACATTTAATACTTTTGGGCAGTCGCTCCTGATAATTAATGCCAGGAGGTCTGTGATTAGTATTTTAGAAAGAATGTAACCACCAGATTATGGTTCAGTTACTATGTCCTTCCTAGAAAAGGTAGGTCTGGAATGGAACAAAGAAGAATCCAGGAGTGGTTACAATGAAAAGTAATTATTTACAGAATTCCGTGTCAGTCCACGTCCAACCAATATATCACAATAAGTATGTAGACCCATTAAAATTAAGTGCATGGAAATTCCCTTCTCCACTCCTGTACCTGTTCTCCTTTCCTGAACATGTCGACTCATACAAATGCACTTATGAGCTTCTGGAGACACTCAATGTGTTTGGGGTTATCACAATCGGACAGGCACTTTGTACAGGGGCCGATGACCACTCACATGTTCTACCTTGTTGAGCCAAACTTGCAACTTGTGTTTGTTTTACTTTAATAAGTTTCTCTTGTATCACATGCACAGATCTGACCTCTTTCTCTGAAACAAAACTTTGCGCCAACACATATGTGTGGCCAACTAAATGCATTGATTGACGAAAATGTTTTCTGTAACTTTGGTTTTACCATCACTGGATCTTCATTTTTATTTTCACCCCACAGAAACATCGACACAAACTCTTCATCAGTTAGTTGATTCACAATTGGTGCATCTTTGTCAACATTCATCCAGTCCTGCAAGTCTTCCTTTTCTCAAATCTCTAGTCACCTCAAGCACCTCAAGGGCTCGATTTACTTTTGGCATTATCCAGCAACCCACGAATACGCGTTTGTCTTAAGGCAGTCTGAATTCGGTGTGGTCCATCTCCTGAGCTGCACCAACACTGTTTTCACACATCAAGGCTGGCCACAGATTGCGCTATACATTCTTCACAGTGGACAGACCTAACTTTTCTAGGAAGGACATAGTAACTGAACCATAATCTGGTGGTTACATTCTTTCTAAAATACTAATTGCAGACCTCATGGCATTAATTATCAGTAGCAACTGCCCAAAAGTATTAAATGTCGGGAAACGTTTGTTTTGCTGTGCTGCAAAATGCATCTTCTTCAGAAAACAGGGAGTAAAACCACAGAGAGTGCTGGATTAAGGAGATTCAACCTGTATTGACATGTGGACAAACTAAATCTTAATTTAATAATTAGACTTGGAAATGACGGTCACATTCGAACAAAAAATGTTTTAAAAGTTGTCATAGAAACAACAAGCATGAAACTGTTGATGAGTTTGATCTAGATGAGGTCAAGCTATACCACGAGACTTACTACAGTTTGGACTTAACTCCAAACAACAGAGCTCAACATTATTTAATTTTAAAAATACATTCTGTTGTGATATTCCTGTGCAAGCTCAAAACAATTTTTTTTTTAAAAAAGTGATTACATAATGCCATTTTTTTTTCAAAGCAAACAGATCATTGGGGGAAAGGTAGCAAAAACAGTTAGATTTGCAAGAAGTATGTTTGAATTGAAATTAGAGAGCATTTAAATATAAAAAGGATTGACAGAGATGAAATTGTACATAATCTACAGTATTACACCTCAAGGAGGAAAATATCGAGCAAAATGTTTGAGAAAGAATGAAAGGTAAATTGAATAGATGGATCATTTAAGAGATGACAAGATTTCTCTTGTATTTTTCATCTAGGAATTCAATTGGGATGCAAGAATAAGGGAACAGTATCGATATTCTTGACAAATCTGAGCTTTATAGGGAATTGGGAGATGTTGAAATTGACATCACAGAGCTTTTTTTAATAACCTGAGCACAAACAGTAAGAAAATTCTATCAATATAATTTGTTTTATTCATATATGAAATATGGGTGTCACTGACAAGGATGGCATTTGTTGTCCATCCTTAGTTGTCTTTGAATCAATTGGCTTTCTAGGCCTTTTAAGAGTCAATCATGTTGCTATAGGCCAGATTTCCTTCCCCAAAGGACATTACTGAACGAGATGACTTTTCACCACAAATTGACAATGGTTACCTGGTCACTATTAGGCTAATTAGACATTAATTTGTACACACTAGAAGAAATTGAACAACAGCGAAATTTCAACATTGCAAAATACATTTTTAACATTAGAAAATCCTGAAATTTCACTTGAATCAACACTGTGGCCATGGATTTCAAAAGCTAAACATTAGGCGAAGGCAAACATTTTTTCATCGCTGGTAGAGAATGTATCTTTTGCTTCAAAGTTGCAATTCAAACTCAGCTTATAGAGAACTGTTAACACTTCCCTTCCTTTTTGAAAAGTAATGCAGATACAAACATTGTAATAAGAAAAGGAAAATAAGACAATGAAGACTATACAAGGAATTGATGTATTTGAGACAGATCTGGAAGTGCTAACTAAGGAGCTGAGAACGTTTGCAGTGAAGCCAAATTAGAATCGCTAGAGAGTTAGAAAATCTGAATGAAGCAGCTCAAAGCTCAGCAGGCATTATTCAGTAGGGAAATAATTTAAGGCTATTAAATATGGAATGTTTTTTCAAGTATTAACACCTCAGATGTTCGAGAAATGCCTTCTAATGAACTGTAATAAAATAGTTTTCAAATAATGTGGAAGAACTGGCAATGTGAAAGCTTATAGTTTAGCATTGGTTATTTGCACGCTGGTGGCACTAAATTTAATGAGAGACAGGGTAGGCAGCAAATGTGCAAGATATGATTTCCAGCCATGTTTTCGATCAGTTTAGTAAATTGGATAGGTGACTCTCCAACCATTTCATAGATACTTGTGTCTTATTTATTAGAAATAAAATGGAGATGGACATTTTATTCAGAAAGTATGTAATATTCACATCTCATCCATTTAAAATTTGAACTCGGAATATCACAGATCCACTGACATTACGACTGCTGAAAAAGATGCCACATTTAGTGGAAGCAACAAAAAAATTAGAGAACACCACCAATATTACACCATTAGTAGAATAATCCCTGATAAAATATACCCTACGAGAATGCTGTCTGAGGTAAAGGTCTAATCTCCACAAACTTAAATGTAAAATGCATAATCTTAATGAAACCACACTTTCTGATATTATTCAAGTGCTCAAGTAATTTGTTTTTGTTTCAAAAATTATTTATTATATTCTTCTCAGTATCGCCAAAATATTTTCAAGGTAACTGGAGATGCGAGTGTTGTACTACAACCGGAATAGCTCACCAGTCTATACATGAAAAAAGAAAATGGTTACATGATGAAAACTTTAGAGATTCTGACAGGAACTGAATAATGAGGTTACACAAGCAATGCATCAAAAACCATCTTTCATGAATTTTTGATTTCCATAAGAGTTTTGAAAATAATCTCTTCCCATGCTTTATACATAAATACCTCAAAAATTATAAAATTTTACGAGTTTCCAAATACATCATAAAGTTAAAGCAAAACTCAAGCGTATGGAATTTATCTGAATTCCAAAATGCTCTTGGACAAATGGCACAGTTTGCAATTTTCAAAACTGGAATGGCTTACAGAAATAGTAGGAACTGCAGATGCTGGAGAATCCGAGACAACAAGGTGCAGGGCTGGATGAACACAGCAGGCCAAGCAGCATCATAGGTTACAGAAAGTTTAATTTTGTACTGGTTGAGATTGTAAGAGGTACCTAAGATCTTTAGTGTTACCTGACAGCTAACTGGACAGAATGAAAATTTCACAGTCAGCAGCATAATCATGACGCAGTAGATATTGTTTGTTCGTAAATGAAATTATTTTAATATTTGATGTCAGTCCTAGACAATCCATAAGTTGCTCTCTGGCTAGAATGGAAAGCTTTCATTGACTAAGAAGTTCTCTTTCAGCGCTTCATTTCTGTTCATTCTTTATGTCCAAACATGCCTCACACCATAAAAGTATCATCACCCTGTATTTTGCAGCATGTAACTTCAAATGGGTTGAAACTGTCAGAAAGATCAAGGCATTTACTCCCTCTAGAGAAGAAAGGTTTAAGAGGACCTGTTATTTTCACCATTACAAAAGATTAACAAAACTGACCAAGAAAATTAGTCTATTAAATTAACAAATATAAAATGTTTGAGAGGCAGTTTCTGGGGACAGCAAACTGATGAAAAACAGTTAGAAACGTGATTGATCTACATAACTGAGGACTCGGGTTTAGCGCCTTCTAAAAAGCTCAGTTATGTTCTTCAGTATATGTAAAATAATGATGATTATACAGTATAAAAACCAAAAGAACTGCAGATGCTGCAAATCAGAGACAAAAACAGAAATTGCTAGAAAAGTTCAACAGGTCTGGCAGCATGTGTGGAGAGGTATCAGAGTTAATGTTTCGGGTCGAGTGACCCTTCCTAGGATAAGAACTATACACAGTAGTTATCATGCAAAAGTCAGAAAGCAGTTCCGATCATGTGAAAAGGAGGAAGAAAACGGAATGTAATTACCAAATGAACTCCAAACAGTGTGTCAGAGTATCTGGAACAGGCAGTTATGACCAAAAGGTTGCCAAGGAAGGGTTAAGAAGGACAACCTGGACGTGACACCTCTACTTGACAAGATGAGATCTGCCCACAATCCTGAATTTTACACGGCAGGGGCACACCCAAAGTTTCCCTGCAGTCAGGATACATATCATATACACGGTTTGAAGATTTCAGGTAAAAGAGAAAGCATTCTCATACGGTATAGCGTGTTAATATTTTGGGGGAAAAAAAAATTGATACCTCTTGTCATCAGAGATCAGGCGTTCAAATTAAAATCTCCATAACTCAGCAAGGAGACACAGCGAATGCAACTCCACCGGAGCATCAGACTTTTGTTTAAGCCTGTGACTGGAAAGGAAACAAGTTGTGGGGACGAAGATTTAAGAATGTAAAGGAGAAAGACGCTAATGCACAAGTGGGTTTTTTAACCATTTAACAAACGCACAGAAGCAAACGGGGGAGTGGGGGTTGGTTTTAAAGTGTGTGTGTTTTACCTCCACTAACAGAGCCTCCGTACACTGAACTGACCCGGCTACTGTTGCTACTACTCCGGAGCATAGTTCGGACTTGCTCCTGCACTCTCATGCTCTTCTGCTCGGCGCGGTGCTCCCTGCGGTCGAGCTGTGTGTCCGAGGGCATAGCCAAGGTAGAGACCGGGGCGTCCGTGGGCAAGGCGGACTTGAGGAAATAACTCTCCTGCGTCACGTTCATCTTCACCACTTACTCCTTCTTCTTCCCCCTCGGTGTATGTGTGTGTGTGTGTATGTCCGATCAGTCCATGCAATCCGAAAGTTAGACCCTGACCCACCACCCCTGCCGCAGACTTACTCTCACACTGCCACCCTGCAGCTCTCCTTGGGGCGAGGCCAAGGTGACATCAGGGAAAAGAAAAAAAAAGAGGCTGGATGGAGAAAGCCCCACCTTCCTCAGGTGAGTCACTCCAAGCCGCCAGGCTGTCTTTTTTTTTAAAAAAGCACTTTACATGCCAGGTTGGTGTCGCTGCAAAGATCAGTATCTTATTGCCCATCCCTTGGACTGGGTGGTTTGCTAGACGTTTGTGAGGGGAGTCATCCCAGTCTAAGGCAAGAAGAACCTTCCCTAGAAAGAAAGTTCATTAATCGGTTTGTCGACAATGAACAGTCTAATTTTCAAGTTGCAGAATTGTTTTTTTGGAAAATGAATTTCTACTCCACCAGCTGCCTTGTTAGGATTTGAACCTGCGTTTCCCACGGCATTAATTTGTCTCTTTGAAGTGCTCCACCACCACCTTCTGAATTTAGTGGCCTAAAGAGTTTCAGTTCTGTTTCTCTTTTCCACAGCTGCTGTCTGACCTGACGAAGGAGCAGCCCTAGGAAAACTTGTAATTTCAAATAAACCTGCTGGACTACAACCTGGTGTCCTGTAACTTCTGACTCTGACTTGTTAAAACTCATTGATTTTAAATTTCAAATTTCTGACAACTACAGTCCTTTGCTTTTTGTGGGCATTATTTCATTCAGTCTTTTGGAGGACTAACAGAAGAGTTATTTGTTTGGTCTAAGAGCAATTGTGTGAATACAAGATCACAAACTCCTATCACTTGGCAATATTTCAGGTGCTGTCATCAACCAGCTTTCATCCCTCCCAGGAGTGCTGAGCATGTAGTGGTTCTTATTACAGACATCTCTTTTAGGAGAATTCACATTTATACTTACAGTTCCTGTCTCATTGAGCCGATTTACTGTGAGCCACAAACAGTGTGACAATCCACACACTTAATTGTTGGATAACAGTTGTTTACATAGCAGGTTTTCTTTCTAAGTGAAAGTACAAATTTTATATTGCTAAAAACGTTGTAAAATTGGTGCCACTAAAGGGCATTAGTAAATCAGATGGGTTTTTATGACAAATTATTTTACTTGTTATATTTGTGATTACAGAAATTAGCACTCAATTTCAGAATTATTGATTTAATTTTCCTGGTGGGATTTGAAACTATGTCTCCAAACCAATAATCTGGGACTTTGGAGTACGAATCTAATGGCATTATCACTGTGTTTTCTCTACAGAGAAGGTGAATTAGTTAGACTGGGGAATCAGAAAGATCAAATCAGATACAGAATGACAAATACTAAGGAAGAAAAGATTTAATTAAGAAAGGAAGAAATAGAGAGGGAAAATAAGCAGAGAATGTGAGATTTTGGGATTTTTTAGAAGAATTTACTTCATGCAGGAATGGAAACTAAGGGGAAAGTATTAGGGTTTATTATAAAGGATGCAAAAGCAGAGGTTTTAGAAATGTACATTATGACGAAGCAGAGTTAGCATGGCTTCATGAAAGGGAAATGATGTCTGACAAATTTACTGGAATATATATGGATATACTGTAGAAACTAGGTTTGCTCTGGGAGGAAGAAGTTGAGAGGAATTTGATCAAAAGTATTGGAAATTGTGTAGGCTCTAGAATAGAATAGTTAAGGAGCACCAGAGGACACCAATTTAAGATGATGAGCAAAAGAAACAGAGCAACATAGGGAAAAACCTCTTTACATGGTGAATAGTTGAGATCTGGAATGCACAGACCGTGGGTGTAGTGGAGGAAAATATAATTATGGTTTCAATAAGGAATTGGATATGCTCCTGAATAAAAAAAACAGGGGACTTTGGGGAAAGAATGGAGGATGGAGACAAACTCTAGCAGAGAGTCTGCACAGGCATAACTGGTTGGATGGTCTCATTCTTTGTTGGGAGGTGCACTGTAGATGAATAGTTCCAGATTGCTGGAAAGAATTTAATGACCTGACCAGGGCAAGAAAGGTGAGGACAGTAACACATTCAACTATGTCTTATTGCAAATATCACACTGTGTGCCCCTCATGCTGTCATCTCAAACCTATTCCTATATGTCACTCCTCTCAAGCACTTATGCAAGAGCACCCATTGCTGTTTGAATTTTTTTGCATACCCGTTACCATTAACATTTACCCTGGTCCTAATGCAAAGTTACTCTTCTCCTTCATAGTCATTCTCAATGCTATCCATGCATTTGTTCAACATAGTTCATTACTGTCACTCGTAGATCTTTTCCTCTTTTCAGTAGAAGACAGTAGTGTTCCAGGGAGAGACATAGAACAGGAGGTGCTCATAGAAATAAGATTTACAATCTAGTACAACCATTTAACCCATTCTTTGCCAACAAACTTTATACACTAACTGCAGAGGAAGAGGCACTGTAGCTCAATAGAGTTCTAGTTTGCCTGACTGTTGAAAGAATCAAGTATCATGCAGCTACACAGTATAGAATAACCCCTGATTTTGACTCAGTTAGCAGCCAATTGGACAGAAAAACTAGGAGCAGAAGTATACCTCTGACCCCTCAAATCTGCTTTGCCATTCAATAATATCATGGATAATCAGTTTGTTATTCAAATTCCATGCTCCTATCCATCACTGAAAACACTTGACTACTTTGTCTAACAAAAATCTATCCACCTCCCCCTTATAAACAGTCAATGATCCCACCTCCAATGCTTTCTGAGGCTGTGTGTGCCAAAGCCTCACAACCGTCTGAGAGAAAATATTTCTTCTTATCTCTGTCCTGAACGGGTGATCCCTCATTTTAAACCATGCCCTCACTTCTGGACCCACAAGAGTAATCGTAACCTCCTCGTCCACTTTGTGAAGACAACTCAAGATCTTAAAAACTTCAATCAGGTCATTCCTCATTCTTCTAAACTCGCCTAGCCTATCTCCTTGAGATTATCCACTCTTTATCAAAACCACATCTGAATTGCCACCAATACCTTTACATCTTTCTTTAAGCAATGCACACAAGTATTTGAAATGTGGTCTCACTAATGCTGTAACAGCATAATAATGTTTTGTGACTTATCCACCAGCACAACTAAATTGCCTTGCACCTCAGAATTCTGCAGTTGTTCTCCATTTAAGTAATATGCTTTTTTAAAAACTCTTCTTGCCAAAGTGAACAACATCACATTTTATCTCCTCATGCACTGTCTGGCAGAATTTTTTTACCAGTTCCCTCAACCTATCCATTTACATCTGCAATTTCCTTGTGTCCTTCACAACATACTTTCCTACATATCTTAGAATCATTTGGGAATTTAGCTACCATGCCTTCGTTCGCCTCATCTAAGTTATTGATAAAAAATGTAAAAAGTTGAGGCACAAGCTGAGACCCCTACGGGATTCCACTTGTAATATGCTGCCTGTAAAATATGATCATGTGCAAAATATTCACATAAAACATTCTTTTTCAGGCAGTTGTAATTCAGTCTGTATTCTCCTACAGACCTGCAGAGGGTGATCAAGGGAAACAATGTTAACTCCTCAAAAGATGTCATGGAATCTGAGGTTGCAACATCACAGGAGCCTTACGCCAAGTCAGATATTGGCAGTTTAATGAGGTTGAAAAGGAAAATAGCTTTCACTTGATGTCGCATATTTCCAAAGTAAACAAGGGCAAATGATGGACATAACAAGGTGTAGAGCTGGATGAACACAGCAGGCCAAGCAGCATCAGAGGAGCAGGAAGGCTGACGTTTCGGGCCTAGACCCTTCTTCAGAAATGGGGGAGGGGAAGGGGGTTCTGAAATAAATAGGGAGAGAGGGGGAGGCGGATAGAAGAGGGATAGAGGAGAAGATAGGTGGAGAGGAGACAGACAGGTCAAAGAGGTGGGGATGGAGACAGTAAAGGTGAGTGTATGTGGGGAGGTAGGGAGGAGATAGGTCAGTCCAGGGAGGACGGACAGGTCAAGGGGGTGGGATGAGGTTAGCAGGTAGGAGATGGGGGTGGGGCTTGAGGTGGGAGGAGGGGATAGGTGGGAGGAAGGACAGGTTAGGGAGGCGGGGACAAGCTGGGCTGGTTTTGGGATGCAGTAGGGGGAGGGGAAATTTTGAAGCTTGTGAAGTCCACATTGGTACCATTGGGCTGCAGGGTTCCCAAGCGGAATATGAGGTGCTGTTCCTGCAACCTTCGGGTAGCATTGTTGTGGCACTGCAGGAGGCCCAGGATGGACATGTCGTCTGAGGAATGGGAGGGGGAGTTGAAATGTATCGCGACTGGGAGGTGCAGTTGTTTAGTGCGAACCGAGCGTAGGTGTTCTGCAAAGCGGTCCCAAAGCCTCCGCTTGGTTTCCCCGATGTAGAGGAGGCCACAACGGGTACAGCGGATGCAGTATACCACATTAGCAGATGTGCAGGTGAACATCTGCTTAATGTGGAAAGTCTTCTTGGGACCTGGGATGGGGGTGAGGGGAGAGGTTTAGGGGCAGGTATAGCACTTCCTGCGGTTGCAGGGAAAAGTGCCGGGTGTGGTGGGGCTGGAGGGGAGTGTGGAGCAGACAAGGGAGTCCCGGAGAGAGTGGTCCCTCTGGAAAGCAGATAAGCGTGGGGAGGGAAAAATGTCTTTGGTGGTGGGGTTGGATTGCAGATGGCGGAAGTGTCGGAGGATGATGCGTTGGATCCGGAGGTTGGTGGGGTGGTACGTGAGGACGAGGGGGTTTCTGTTTTGGTTGTTATTGCGGGGAGGGGGTGTGAGGGATGAGTTGCGGGAAATGCGGGAGACAAATGATGGAAAAAGGGACACTCCGATATCTTTTCAGTCACCATTGATGAAAAGGAAATTTCTGAAGCATCAGCAAAGAAAATGCAAGGTTTTCCAGATGCACTCTGCACTGTTGCAGGGAAATTAAAGGTGTATGGGTCAAGCACGAATGGTAAATTGTAGGCTTTTGCAATGATGTCTTCGTCAGGTCTTTGGGCCCTGACACTATCAAAACAAGTTGCTCGCCTGGTCAATTGGCTGCAAGACATTTGCAACCTTAGTGTTCTCCCAAAAATGCAGAAAATTGCCGAA